CTGATACTAAGGAGTTCTACTCCCCCTCCCCACTTGAAAAGAACTGTTCCAACTGCCAGTTGCCTTATATTAACATGCTCTGATGCTAAGGAGTTAAACATTCTACTCCCCCTCCCCACTTGAAAAGAACTGTTCCAACTGCCAGTTGCCTTATATTAACATGCTCTGATGCTAAGGAGTTAAACATTCTACTCCCCCTCCCCACTCAGGAGCAGTCTGAGGCTCCCTGCAGTTTTAAACATCGGTACCTCACCAAAATGTCTACGCCTTCCACCTATGGAACTGCTTCCAGGCTCAAGGAGGTGGGAGCGATATTCCCTTATGTATTTCAATCACCGACCACCACTGAGCCAACGGATTGTGAACCGAATTTCTCCTGTATAGCCCGATAACATAGTTTCGGCGCGAAGCACAGGTACCCAGCTAGTGTCTTTATAAGTATTTGAAGACCATTCAGGCAGCTGAAAGCCTTGCTAATTTTCATTTAAAGTGCCCCTATGGTTCCTACAAACTATTTGAAAACAACTGTTAGTGGGAGGACTATTATAACAGAAATTATAACGTTTATTTGCTTACCTTGCAATTCCTGCAGAAAGAAGGGGCTGAACAGTTTTTCCATAAAATTTAGCGGGTAGCATTGAATGAGAATGCAGGAATGAAGAAGGTTCAGAAGTTCATGAGGCTCAAACTCAGAAATTCGCGTGCTAACGAACCTTTCAACCTGCCGGAAAAAAGATGGAGCAGATGGCGGCAAATAGTTGAGCTTCCCAAATGGAACAACCTGCTCAACAATCTGCGGAACGGTGAAATTATCAGCACTGTAGACAAAGGTTTCTGCCACTGCGTTGAATATGGGTTTGGAAAGAATGCATAGCGTACTGCAGTACTGCATGATTTTGGAAATTGTGTTGGGATGCATCACAAAGCCAAATTTAGTAACATGTTTTTCTAGGGCCTCTGTGAAACACTGGTCAGAGCATCTGAAATGAATGAATGCTTCCAGCACATTTATCATTTCATCATCTGTAAAGTATGGGATATAACATGATGCATGCTTACAAAGTTTTATGATCAGGTTATTGACCTGGGTTTCATCTAAAACAACCAGAGCACTTAACACTGTACTTGTCTGTTTGGGAGTGAACTGGCAACCTTCCGTCTCTGCAAAACTGTTCATTTTGCTTAACAGGTTCTGGAACATGTTCGTTTTCCTATCTGCATACAGCTGCAGAGTTCTGTAAACTAGGATCATTTCTTCAACCTTCCAGTCCTCAACATTTGTACTCTGAATTTGATTCATAATTTGTTCCAGCATAGCAGGTTCTGGTCCTCCAAGATTAAATAAACCTTCTCCAAGAATACACAAATTTTTAATAGTCATTTGTCCCTTATCAAGACGTTGCTGGCTCTCTGACACCAAGGAAACCATCAAGGAACTGCAGGGATCCACATGCAACTTTGCCAAAGCATTTAGAGAATTTACAAGAGCAGAGTCAGATATATGTATAGAATCTTTTTCCAACTGCAAGCAAAGTGATTTGAACATATCATTTTCCGTCAGCAACTCGGGACTTTTCATTAAGCTGTCCTGTAGCTGGACTTCACCCAATCGCTGAAAGATAGCGGCTACCATGGTGTCAGATAAACTTTCCAACGAACTCACAAATTTGAAAATATCGTCGTAGGAAGACCATTGGTTCAATTCCTTCAAAATTATCTGTTCCCCTACTGTCTTGCTATTAGATTTTAAATCGTTATTGGCCTCTCCAAGATGTTGCACTGCTTCCACAACAGGGTTAGTATGATTTTTTAGTTTCACGTGGTAGTTTCTACGAAAAGTACATGGGAACCCTCTTCGTTTTTCCAATATAGAAGAATCAAAGTAGCTGATTGTCATTTTCTGACAGAAATGGTGGAAGGCTCTGCTTCCAGTTAGCAATTGTCTGCACGCTTGTATATTTGAAACATATATGTGGAAGGATCGGGCAACCATAAAAGCCATCTTAGCTTGGCTGCTGACATTGCCTGAAAATAGAAGAAAAAGTTAATAGTTTGCCTTTTTAAACAGTTTGAAATGATAAGACAAGAGGCAGCACATCGACCTCTTAATTCTGTGTGAGTATGATACTGTTAACTAATGAATTCAACTCAGAAAAACACCTTAGATATTTAACATCTGTAAATGTGGGTTTGAAAGTAATGAATAAGGCGAACTTTAATTCTGAAGCTGGAATAAGTAGCAGAGTTGGATAAGAGGTCCAGCTGCCAAGGGAGAAATTTCAATCCTGCTCCTTTGTCGGTATTGCGATGATTCAAAGCAACAACCCAATTAATGCAAAATGCAATACAAATGTAAATTGTGCATTTTTTTTTGTAAACATCAATTGCTCCTTTATCAGTATTGCGATGATTAAAAACAACAACCCAAATAATGCAAAATGCAATACAAATGTAAATTGTGCATTTTTTTGTAAACATCAATTGCTCCTTTATCAGTATTGCGATGATTAAAAACAACAACCCAAATAATGCAAAATGCAATACAAATGTAAATTGTGTATATTTTCTTGTAAACATCAATTGCTCCTTTATCAGTATTGCGATGATTAAAAACAACAACCCAAATAATGCAAAATGCAATACAAATGTAAATTGTGTATATTTTCTTGTAAACATCAATTGCTCCCTTATTGGTATTGCGATGATTAAAAACAACAACCCAAATAATGCAAAATGCAATACAAATGTAAATTG